TTTACGAATGGTTTTATCAGCACTTGAACTGTAAATGTAATCATTTTTAACAGCAATACCAGTTACAATATCTGTGTGTCCTCTAAAAGTTTGTAAACATTCACCAGTTTCAGCATCCCATTTACGAATATCATTATCAAAAGATCCACTATATAAGTGTTTCTTTCCGTGCAATGTCAATGATGAAATTGTTTTAGTGTGACCTTTAAAGAAATGAAGAATGACTTGACGTTCAGCTGCCCATGATCTTATATCACCATCATCTGATCCTGTATAAATAACACCTTCAGGTGATGTAATCATCGCAGAAATAAACTTTCCATGTCCTTTAAAGACAAAGAGACATGATCCACTTGGATCCCTATTAGAATTATCATTATATACAAATTATTATTATTATTATTACAATTGATTGTTATAATTGATTGTTATTAAATTGTTATCAGCAATTGAGTTGGTTACATTGTTAATAATGGATTGTTTTAAAAAAGTGTGTTTGTTGGTTAATAGTAGTAGTAGTATATTAGTTGTATTGGTAGTAGTAGTAGTGTTAATAACATTCATTATTTTGTTTACAAGTTTGGAAAGTCATATTCAAAGTAGTAATAAATTAATATTATTGTAATCGTTATGAATAATGTCAAATTGAACACAAGTTTGTTGTTATTATTGTTTGATGAGTAATTCATCATCATCATCATTATTCGATAGTGGTAGAATAACAATATTTCATCATCATCAAAATTAATTGATACAAAAAAGAACAGATGAAGAATAGGATGTTGTTGTTGTTATACGAAAGTAATTATCACATCATCGTGATGAAACCCATCATCATCATTGTATTTTCCATAGAAAAAGGAATGGTAACAAATAGATGAAATATTCACAGATTAAATTATAAGAACTAAATAATATTCGAAACAACAACATACCATTGTCTGAGAGTCGCATCATGAGAACCAGAATAAAGCTTTCCATTGAAATATTGAAGTGTGGAAATACTCTTGGCATGTCCAGTAAATTCCTTGCTAGACTCCAACTCATCAGGTGTTGTACTCTGATCATTGTCAAATGTCAATATATTGATCATTGGCAGATTAAATTCACAAATAAATGTTTAAATGACATTTTGATGATAAATTTTATCGATAAT